TGCAGAAGCAGATTGAGACTAAATATGTAAACTCAGCTGATCAGTTAGCTGATATATTTACTAAACCGTTGGGGGGCTCAAGGATAAAGTACATTTGTAACAAGCTTGGAGCACACAATATATATGCTCCATCTTGAGGGGGAGTGTTAAAGGGTATTTAGGTCTTTTATGTAATACCTAGGGTTTCCTAAGGTTTTCCTAACTCTTATTATAAATAGTAGGACATGCTAACACTATTGTTAAAGCCTTCTTACTCTTTTACTTCAACATTATCAAACAATTCTTGCTTTTAGGTTGTTTGTTTGTTTTGTGAAAGTGAGGGATTAGTGATGTTATTGCTTTTTAAGTGAGAAACTTATGAACATTGTTCACCTTTTATTATGTCATTATCTTGTTAACTTAAAAACCTTCTAGTTCATTTTTTGTGATGCCAAATATTATTTCGATCTAGTACTAGATGATCAATAAATTTTAAAGGCAAGATGGGGTCTGAGTTAAGTTATAGACGGTAGAAACTTCGCTAAATTCATTTAAATTCTCTCTTCATGCTCTGAGCCAAAATGTACTGTTGGCATGTGTTATAGTGGAATGATATTCATAATTGAGCAATTTATTTATTTATTTATTTTTATTTTAGTGCGGGTGGGAGTGGGGGTGGGGGGACCATTGCAACAATTAATTTGTTCAAACATCATAGTTATCCAAGATGTTCGAGGCATCTTCATTTAAGGTGTTATAGATTCTTAAATCCTCTCCCAATAATAGATATGCATGCCAAAATGTCTGTTTTTTTTTTTTTTTCATTTCATTTCATTTGGGGTTGGGAATCTGATCATTATTAGCAGCAATTTATGTGTAAGCATTTAGTTCTATCTGATATAAAGGCCATGTCTGAAAGAAATGTGCTCACCTATACATTATTAATGTGGTTTTACCAGATCGATATGCCAATACAACAAAGCTATCTTTGGTATGCTTCAAGTGAAGAATCTGAGGTATACTCTCAGTGGTTTATGAAACGAAACACATATACCTAGTGCTACATTTGAATGGATGCAGTAATTTCTGTATGTTAATCATATAATTTCTTGCAGTCCTCTGATGCATACCATTTTCGGCCTAATGGATCTACTCCTCAAGCTGTCTCAAGATCTGTGAGTGATCTTTTCTCCAGCAAAAGTTAGGTGCTACCAAAGTTAATCTTCCAGAGCAATGGATCATTAGTTCCTGCTCAAAGCCGATTGGATCAAACATTGGCTTGCCATACTTTGCTTGTTTATTTGTTACTTTCATTATATTAACTACTAATAATCAGTATGCTGATTGCAGGTTCCCTTGAAGGTCGCTCGGGGTCCACTGGTTCATGAAGTTCACCAGCAATTTGATTCATGGATCTACCAGGTAAATTTAACATGCAAATATTTCTCTAAACTATACAATAAGCGTCTGTACAATCTTCACTTGGTATTTTACCTATGCCGCCTTACTGTGTGCTATCCCAATGATTTTTTTTTTCCATTATTGGGTGGACGAAATTCTTTAACAGATGGCATGTAAAAAATGACATTTATCATCATTTTCTGTACCACTGTTGTGGCACTTATCAGAAAGTATTTATGCCCGAAATTTTCAGATAACTAGAATTTACAAAGACAAAGAGCATGCTGAAGTTGAGTTCACTGTAAGTCGGTCTTATTTACTTTGCCTTTCCTGTGGTAGATAATTTTCTTTCCCATATAAATTTTCAGAACATTCACCTTTTTTCTTTTTCTTTTCCGTTTCCGGGTCTCGTGGCACTTTATTTCCCCTTTCTGTAACTATGGTTTGATACATGATTCTAATTGAAGATTGGTCCAATTCCTGCGGAGAATACTGTTGGGAAAGAAATTATTACAAGCATGACAACCAGCATGTCCACGGAGAAAGCGTTCTATACAGATTCCAATGCAAGGGACTTTCTCAAACGGGTAACTCTTGATTTATATGTTGTCTGTCTTATGATTTCTGATACCTAGTTTTTTACTCATCTTATTACCCACCGATATTTTTTTATTTTATTTTGTTACCCATGTTCTCATGGAACACATTCTCTCACCCTGTAATTAGATGAGTACAGTGTATTTAACAATATTTTCCTTGAAGTCTATGCTCCAAGAGAAATAGTGTTACATATGTCAATCAGTCCGGGTGAATTACAAAAAAATATTCGCTACTAGTTAGTAGTCACGTAGCTTTTATACCAAAATTTTAAAATATCAGCAAAATTGCAAATACAATTGCACCAAGTTGTCGTAGTATGATAACAGAGTAAAATACTGGGTCTTGAAAAATAAAGTATGTATCTACGAGTCGTGTATAGAAGAATAGAACTGTAAAAAGGGATCATTGTTTATCTCCTTTGTGGATTTTTATTTGCTAAAAGTTTTTGTTTGGTCAAGCTGATTTTGGTTGAAATGAATATCTAGAACAGGAAAAGCTGATGAAATTAGCAAATGCCGGAGTGTTTATATTCAGTGATTAATGTAAGGGATAAAATTGTTTGCCTAGAGTCCAGGTTTTAATTGTCCGTGCATTCAGGATGAATGTTGAAAATTGTGTCTGTCCTGACAGCATGGACATTTTCCATAATTAGCTTTCCATGTTCTTCTGTTTCTTTGACCTCAAAGCGTATTTTTCATTGTTTAGCTAATTTTGCTTCAGTGGCATGAATAGCTAAACTATGATATATGGAAAAATAACATGTGTAGTTCCATAAGCATGTATTAGTAATTAGGTCTACTGCATGTATTAGTAATTAGGTCTACTGGTTATTATCTGACAGATACCTGGTTGCTCTATTACGTGCTTTTTCATTTTCTTCTTGTAGATTAATCTCCATTATTGTGCTTTTTCTATACAGTTGACTTTATTATCCCATTTCGTTTTCAGGTTCGAGATTATAGGTCCGACTGGAACCTCACCGTTACTCAACCTGTAGCAGGAAACTACTATCCAGTAATTGTCCTGACTTAAACTTTATTTTGATTTACATATTTTACTTGAAGAAAACTAGATATTCATGTAAAGTAAATGGACTTTTTAGCCAGTTGGACTACTTGTCAAACTAACGAGACTCATATCTTTTTTTTTTGAAAGGTAATCAAAATTTTTATATAAAAAAAGCATAATACACAGGAAGTGTACTATCACTTTAAATCAGAGAGAAACATCATGAAATTAGGCAACCCTACTATATGCCTAGTTGCCGCAGCATTAAACCAAGAATACAAAGTGAAATAAAACAACTCCCTAATCTGCTCTGTTGTCCGTGATTCGTCTTCAAAACAGCGACTGTTTCTTTCTCTCCACACACACCAAACGATGCATCCCGGAATAAGGCTCCAAACAAGTTTGCTATCCTTATCTCGAAACTTTCTCCTCCACGCCTTTAACGTATCCTCCATATGCCTCGGCAACACCCAATCCATATGTTGCGACGTCAAAATATCATTCCACGATAGACGCGCAGCATCACAATGAAGGAATAAGTGGTCAACCGTCTCCCCATCCCTCTTACACATGTAACACCACTCTGTAACATAGAAACCTCTAGTACGAAGGTTATTTACCGTTAACACCTGTCCTTTGACCACCGTCCAAAGTAAGAATGCCACTCGAGGGGGCAGTTTACATTTCCAAACCATCTTCCAGAGGAAAGAGTTATGCGCAGGTCCCATCAAGGATCTAAAATAGGTGCGAACAGAAAAAAACCCATCACGTGTCAACCTCCACCTACAACAATCACCCTCTCCTGCCCTGATATGAACCTCATATAAGGATGTCAAAAACAACGCAAAGTCATCCAGTTCCCAGTCCTGCAAACCCCGGCAGAAAACAATGTTCCAACTGGGACTTCCATCATGGAAATCAAAAACATCAACCACCTTGGCAGACGGCTCCGTCGCAATGCGATACAACGAGGGAAATCCCAGTTTAAGCGGTTGATCTCCGCACCAGCAATCATCCCAAAAACTGATGGTATTACCAATCCTCACAACAAAAGTCAATCTATCCCGAAATTCACTCCACCCTTGCCGAATATACCGCCACAAACTCACCCCATAAGAACCCCGTCTCTCACCTGAGCACCAACCCCCTTCCATAATGCCGTATTTTGCCCCAATAGTATCTCTCCAAAAGCTCCCCCTCTCCACTCCAAACCGCCATAACCACTTACCCAACAATGCCTTGTTAAACAGTACGAGACTTCTTATTCCAAGACCACCAGATCTAATAGGGGAACAAACAACCCGCCAATTAACCAAATGTAATCTCGTCTCCTCCCCTAAACCTCCCCAAAGAAACTCCCTTTGGAGCCTCTCCAATCTTTTGGCCACAACAGTAGGAATAAGAAATAATGACATGAAATAAGTAGGGAGATTCGACAGAGTGGACTTAGTGAGCGTAAGACGGCCCCCCTTAGAGAGGTACATACGCTTCCAACCCGCTAGCCTTCTCTCCACCATTTCCACGATACCATTCCAAATCTGAATGCTTTTAAAACGTGCTCCTAAAGGGAGGCCGAGATATGTCATAGGCAAATGCGCCACCCTGCAACCCAAAATATCAGCCAACTCCTCCACGTTATCAACCTCTCCAACTGTGATCGCCTCAGATTTTCCCAAATTAATTTTCAATCCAGAAATAGCTTCAAAGCACAGAAGTAAGCGACGCAAGTTCCTGAATTGCTCAACATCCGCATCACAAAAAATCAGCGTGTCATCTGCAAATAGCAAATGAGAAACCTGCATCTGCTCAACAACAAAACCATTTAATAAACTTTGCCCCACAGCCTTCTCAAGCATCCTACTGAAGGCTTCCATAACAAT